CATAGAGCTGGCTTCCCAGCCAATCAGGAAGCTGGCCATTACCCGCTGCCTGAGTTCCTGAGTGGCCGGGAAGCCAGCATCCCAGCCAATCAGCATGAAGCCTTTTCCCGGCCAATCAGGAAGCCGGGAGGCAGGTCAGTAACCGCTGCCTGACTTCCTGATTGGGCAGGAAGCCAGCTTCCCGGCCAATCAGGAAGCTGGAAGGGGGTCATTACCTGCGACCCGGCTTACTGGTTGGCCGGGAAGTCAGCTCCATATTCCCTTGCAGGACTGCCAGTCAGAGGACGAGTACTCGCCCAAATACTTGGTATCGGCACAGATACTAGTATCCCTAGTATATACCCACCTGTTTTTCTAACAGGCTTGAGCATGTCTGGTTCTGGGTCAGTGTGAAACCAGGTGAAAGGAAAAAAAAGCATAGGGAAAATCTGTTTTTCCCCACTCTGCAGCACACAGGTGTCAACAAAGCCTTTAGCCTGCATGTGATCACTATGTCATAGCTGACATAGTGATCACATGACTGGGAACAACTCTAGTGACAAACAGGAACAAGAGCAAGCAGCCATGTGAAGTGTTGACTGCTTGCTCTGAAGTTGAAGGACATTTGTAATGTACTATGGTGGAATTTTAATATTAACTCATACACTTAAAGGAGAACTATGGGGTCAGTGTTTTTCCCCATAGTTCTCCTTAGGGTAACAGGAGGACACAAACTAGCGTCCTCCCGTTACCCTAAGCTCAGTATACCGCGAGCTACAGCTCGCGGTATACTGAGACGCCGCAGCTGGAGTGGATCCCGGCGTAGATGACGGGATCCGCCCAGCTGCGTGAGTGACAGCCTGCTCTGCCTATCTAGAGGCAGAGCCAGCTGTACCCGCCCCCTCCCCCGTCCGTTCCGCCAGTCAGCGCTGGCAGATCGGAGCGGGGAGAGGGGAATCCAGCCCCTCCCCCTGTCACGGCAGAGAGCCGTGAAAGGATCGAGAGGTGAGCGAACCTGGTATGTGTTCGCTCACCTCCCGATCTACTGAGCCGACCTGTGACAGTCTCATTGTCACAGGTCGGCTAGAACTATGAGGTGAGTGGAAATCACTCACCTCATAGTTCTCCTTTAATATTGTTATTAATTAACATACACACCAATCAGCCATAACATTATGACCACCCACCTAATATTGAGTAGATTCCCCTTTTACTGCCAAAACAGCCCATGGCCTCCACTAGACCTCTGAAGATATGCTGTAGTACATACAGCATACCTTCTGCACCAAGCCATCAGTAGCAGATCCTTGAAGTTCTCTAAGTTGGAAGGTGGGGGTCTCCATGTATCGGACTTGTTTTTCCAGCAAATGCCACAGATGCTCAATTGGATTGAGATGTAGAGAATTTGGAGGCCATGTCAAAACCTCAAACTAATGGTTGTGTTCTTCAAACTATTCTTAAACCATTTTTGCAGTGTGGTAGGGCGCATTATCCTGCTGAAATCGGCCACTGCCATCAGGGAATATGATTTCCATGGAGGGGTGTACTTGGACAGCAAATATTTAGGTAGGTGGTATGTGTCAAAGTAACATCCACATGAATAACAGGAACCAAGGTTTCCCAGTAGAAAATTGCCCAGAGCATCACACTGCCTCAGCTGGCTTGCCTTCTTTCCCTAGTGCATCCTGGTGCCATCTCTTCCTTGGGTAAGAGGACACACACACACCCATATATAAGATGTACAAGAAAACTTGATTCATCAGACCAGGCCACCTTCTTCCATTGCTCCGTGGTCCAGTTTTGACACTTACGTGCCCATTGTAGGTGCTTTTGGTGGTGGACATGGGTCAGCATGGGCTATGCAGTCTCATACGCAACAAACTATGATGCACTGCATGTTCAGATGCCCTTTTATCAAAACCAGCATTAACCTTTTCAGCAAATTGAGCTAAAGTAGCTCTTCTATTTGATTGGACTACACAGGCCAACCTTTACTCCCCACATCGTGCATCAATGAGCCTTGGCCATCCATGACCCTGAAAACCGGTTCACCTTGGACCACTTTTGTTGGGTCCTGACCACTGCAGACAGGAAACTAGACATGTGCGATTTGTTTTTAATTGAAATTTGGATGCATTCAAATCCCTGAATGGAAAAAAAAAAAAGCATCCAAACGTATCCCCTGGCAGTTCCAATGTTGATGAGAACAAGGGCCTCTTCCCCACCCACCACCCTGGCCCAGTGGTTGTGGGGGTCTGCTGGCAGGGGGGCTCATAGGAATCTGGGTGCAAGATCAGTGTCACTAAGGTTATTATTTGCTGTTCCCAAGTTTGGAGCAGTGTAAAAAAAGTGTAAAAAAATTGAAAAAAGTGTAAAAAAAAGAAAAGATTTTTAAAATAAAAATTATATATTTTAATACTATCATTTTTACAGAAAATAACCCCTTACAATGAAAATCTGCAGCTGGGCTGCAGATTTGTTTTTCATCCTAAGGGGTTAATTTTAAAAAAAATTAACCCCTTCATGACGGCGATGTTCAAAGTATTTCGCTGTCACTAAGTGTGACTTCGGCACACTTAGGGGTTTATTCTCCGAGCAGTGTTCGGCTCACTTCACTTCTGATCGGTCATTCATTAGGCTGCCCTCGGCAGCTTTGTGAATAGACCCCTTAGTGACTTTGTATTCCAGGTGATGACTATTAGCTTTTAGAGAAAAAAACATGTAAATGTTAGCTTTTAGTTTTAGGCTGAGAAGTACAGAAACATTTCTAAAATCTTAGGGATATGAGGGGTTTCCAAATAAATGAATTAATTTATTTATTTATTTTTTAGTTGTGCTATTTTTCTAAAAAATAATAATCGAAACTGGGGAAAAAGTATTTTCTTTATGTTTTTTCCTCATTCTGTTATATTTTATTCATCCTAAGTGAGGTGTTAGGGCTATATATTTATAATCACGTGTGCCTATCTGTCCACAAAAAAAAAACCCAATATATATGTGTGGGTGCACTTAGTAGGAAAGTAAAATCACACAGCAAAAATGTAGAAAGTTCGTCAGTCATTAGCGAACAGAAACTTAAAAAAAAAAAAGCACAGGTCATGAAGGGGTTAAGGTAATGCTCCTGCGCTGCAACATACTATGAAAGTGCGTTGCAATGACAAAAAGGATAAGATGTGGTTTTGGCTACGCTCAGGTGCATTGAGCTTTTGCATCCAATGTAAAGGTACTGCCAGGCATGTTATTGCTCGTTTGTCACAGGTTCACTTTAAGGAAACAAACTGGAAGACTTTTCTGCATTTCATAAACATTGTTAAGCACTAAGGCTTCAGTCACACACAATGCAAGCAAAATTGTATATTGCGTATATACGAGGCGTCTATGCGTGCACTATATGCCAGAATCCCAGAATGCATCACTCGTAATGGAATTTTTAATGTGCTGTTCGCATGTAAATACTCAGAAATACGCTGCCAGAACGCATCTCTGTTCCATTCTGTTTTTGCGCATATATACGCTACGCAAATATACGGCTCCATACGCGGCTATGTGTATGGAGCCATTTTTTTTCATATGTTGCATATGGTACAATACGCACGTATGCGCGCGGCAGTGTGAATGAGGCCTAAAAAGAAAAAAAAAAAAGATATGCATACTGGGTTGTCCTAAGTTCAAGATTGTTTATGTGTTGGCCTTTATTTAGCCAAGTTCCATGCCATCATCATGTCAAGGTTACTAAAAGGAGGTGCGCCATCTGGTGGTAACAATTGAGAGTGTCACAAGTGAGGCTCTGTGATAGCAAAACATTAACTTTTTTTGTTCACCTATTTAATGGTCTGACTGTTCTATTAACTCACATGAGAAGTTCTCATTCTTTCAGCAACCATGTGGAACAAGTAGAATCTTTACTGCGGTGAGTGATCTGTCAGAAATTAGAAGATAAACTTTTGCTGATACCTGAGAAAGTAGCTCCATGGGTTCTACTTTGGGTTCCAGCTATGTTGGGCACAGATACAATATATAATATTGATCTTAATTTTCACAAGCAATTTACACTTAGAATAATGACTATTTGTTGATTTTGCATGATTCCTTGAACTGCAGGTATTGAATTAAAAGTTATGGTAAACAGATGTCTTCCTTGCTCTTATTACTTTTTTCCTTATTTTTCTCTAGTACCTTTATTTACTTTTCATTACCTCTTTGGACTGTAACTGTAGTCAATCAAAATGTATTCAATTATCTTCAAATCACTGGCCACACATGGAAAAACACCCCAGCCTCTCCCATGGCAGTCATGTGTCATGGATTCATGTATATATGTCAGAGGACAAGGGAATGGTTAGAGAATTAAATATGGGCTTAGCTGTTAAATTTTTATCAAAAAGTTAAAATTTGCTCATTGGTAAATTCACTGATTAGTCTCCATTTTTAGGGGGGAAAGAAGGAATGCATTTGAAATATCTGGTGGAGTAGATTATGGGGATATCACAATACATTGATAAAATCAAAATGTCTTTTTTTGTTAGACTTCCTGGCTATGTCAGAAATAGAGGATGGTCAATGCTGCTCTGAATACTGAACTGGCAGTTTCAAAGTGCAATAACAAACAACCAAACAAAAATGAGGAAGGGTGGTAACTCACACCTAACAGATGTAACCTTCACAATGTGGGCGAAAACAATATTGGAGTGGCAGCAACCTTCGATACCTTAATGGAGGGTAGCAGACTGGAACAATGTAAAACAAGCGCACAGTTTCCTTTGTTTTGATTGCATGACACTTCATCTCGTGGAAGATTGACTCTTCGAATCACGAACTGGATGCTACAACCGTGTGCTTGAATATCTCTTTGAAGTATATTGCTATATACATCCACTAGACTCTGGGGACCCTGTGAACAAAATGTCTGGCCCTAGAAGTCAAAGATGTTTGTGCAAATATGCAAAAAAAAGATCTGAGAGGCAAGTATCTGAAAGGAATATTTATTTTTAATGTTACAACTGTAGACAAGATGGAGTAGTTCAAACATACATCCTGAAAGCATATTTTTCATTTTCAAGCTCATCTTTGGGGCGCAGGTTGTACAGCTGCTCTAAAATGGGTGGCACCCAGCGGCCTGTATGAAAGGTAGACTCTCCAACCTGTCAGAGAAACAGCACATGTAAGAATATCAGGTCATTTAGGGATCGGCTTTCTAGTGTGATATGGGGGTACTCTGAGCTTCATATAAAAAAGGCACATAAACTGTACAACAGGAAGCATTCCTTATCTCATGCTCAGCGCTACACAGCAAAATCTGAGGTCTGCTCTCTTTCATGGCTAACTAACAAGTCACATTTTAAATCCATAATAATAAAAAAAAATAAAAAAATCACATGATAAATTTATATGGTACCAAATGAGACCAAATAGTTCTAACAAGGAACACCAGGGACATAGCCTCCTATGTAATAGCACACTGGAGATGACCGGTTCTCTTTAGGGGTCTATTAGACTCCTAGTGTCACCTTTCCACTTCAATAGCTTTCGCTAGGGAATAACAGCTGTAAACACAGCCAGCAGTGGCTGGGAGCAATGGCCAGCTTTGCTAGTGGCTATTTTAAATTGCAATAGCCAATAGCAGGCTGGCTGTTGCACCTACCAACTGCCTGCTGTCAATCAGCAGAGGAGGGAACTGAAGGAGAACTTTCTCGTTCAGTTCCCTCCTCTGCTGACGGACAGCAGGCAATGGGTGGGTGCTATAGCCAGCCAGCTATTGCAATGTAAAATAGCCACTAGCAGGCTGGGCATTGCTCCCAGCCACTGGATGGGTACTGGACGCTGGCTGTCTATCGCAGGCAGAGAGAACATGGAGGAGCAGCTGCGGAACTGGGGCAACAGCGAAAAAGCTGGGGCAGCAGTGGGCGAAATAGGGAATGCAGAGGCACGGCCGGTCTCTCCTCTTTGCTAGTGTCGGCTGCAGCATTCTGTGTCCCCGCTGCTTCTGCTTACATAGGCGGGGAGAGCAGTGGGGATTGAAAGGGACACAGACTGCTGCAGTCAGCATCAGCGGGGAGGACAACAGTGGAGCAGGGGGGCGCCAGCTGAGCTGAATCAACTAATCGATAATGAGAATCGTTGACAAGGATTCTCATGATCGATCTTATCGATTGTTGTTGCAGCCCTAAACCTATAGTAAAACATTTTAATGAGAAAAAGCTGGCATTTAAAAGCTACAAAGAATGCAATATAAGATGTATTAGTGCAATCTAGGCAGATAACATAGAATACAATAAACATACTGCCACAGTCAGTAAAAAGATCCCCAAAAGATTCTTCCAGTATATAAAACAGTAAAAAGGTAAGAAAAGAACATACAGGCTCCATAAAAAATAAGCATGAGAGGTTGATCACAAATGACAGAGAGAAAACGGAGGCATTAAATACATTCTTCTCTTCAGCATATACAAATAAAAAGGTCAGATTTATTGAACAAAACAAGAATGTGAACAACAATGTGCTGAATGTACCGCTGTGTTTTACGGAAGGTTCAAAACAGACTACAAAAACGTAATGTGGATAAATCACCAGGACCGGATAACTTACACCCCCAGGTACTTAGAAAGCTAAGCGAAGTTATATATAGCAAGACCATTGGACCCAATTTTCAAGCACTCCCTAATGACTGAAAGCTCTGTTTCAGCGTTTGCTGACGATACCAGCATTTGCAGGGTAATAAATTCAACACTAAACATAGCAGCATTACAGGAAGACCTTGACAAAATACGGGGTGGGAAACTGAGGTTTAATATAGAAAATTGTAAGGTTATGCATTTGGGTGTTTAAAATATTAGGGATGCACCGATAAAGGGCATTTTCACAAGTACCTCGAGAAAATGCCCCGATACCAGCGCTGTAAACAGGTGCCGTGCTTCAAAGGAAGGCTGCCGAGGTGCCCAGCAAGGTCCCGCACAGCCCAGCAGAGAGCCCGCACAGCCCAGCAGAGAGCCCGCACAGCCCAGCAGAGAGGCCGCACAGCCCAGCAGAGAGGCCGCACAGCCCAGCAGAGAGGCCGCACAACCCAAAATAGACCCCGCATTACCAACCTGACAGTGCACACAGCCCACCATAGACGTCCGTAAAAGCATTTGGTATTGGCGAGTACTTGAGGAAAAGTATCGATACTCGTACGCGGCCTGGATAAAATGGTATCGGTTAGAGTGTCCCAATACCATTTTTTCAAGACCAAGTACAAGTACTTTTCCTCAGGTACTTGCTGATACCAATTAGATACTTTTACTTAAAAGGGACATGTGACATTTGTTTCTAAATCAATACAGACTAAATTATTTTAGGGCAGTTTCTTTATAATTATGAAGAACTGTAACTCAATCCATGATTATTCAGCAATGGAGAATGGCAATCAGCAATGGAGGACTACAGATCCCAATAACCTATGATTACACAGCAATTGAAAATGGCAACCAGCATACATGGACTGCTGAGATTTGTAGCCCTCTATAGCCGGTTGCCATTCTCCATTGCTGTATAATCATCGATTATACAGCAATAGAGAATGGCAACCACTAATAGAGGACTACAGATCCCATCAATCCATGATTATAAAGCCTTATACAAGGCTGGGTGCGGGTCTCACTGGGGATGTACAGGTGGGTTCCATGCTCTCAAGGGCTCTCAAAGGCTGAACGGGAGGGTCCCGGGCTCGTGCCAGGCTCCAGGGCAGGTGCCGGCCTCAGCAGGTGCCGGGAAGGAGGAGATGTGGGGCCGGACCAGCGATGTCAAAGACAGCAGCTGCCAAGTCCCCAGCAAGCGTTGGACCTCAAACAGCCGCTCTTAAAATTTAAAGGGCCAGAAAGTGGACTCATGAAAATGCCCTGTATCGGGACATCCCTAGTATCGTGCATCTCTGAAAAATATGCATACAAGCTGCTCATTATTGGAACTATGTCAGGCTAGCATATTATTATTATCATGCATAACAAGGAGTATTTACTCCAGAGACAAATCCATAATTCTACCACTATATAAAACACTGGTTTAGCCTCATGTTGAGTGTGTGGTTCAGTTTTGGTCACCAATCCACAGAAAGGATGTCCTTGAGGTGGAGAGAATCCAGAGAAGGGCAATGGACCTAATAAAAGGGCTGGAGGACTTAAGCTATGAGGAAAGATTACAAATATTACATTTTTTCATGGGTAAAAGGGATACGATTGTAATGTATAAATTGTTGAATGGTGAGAATTAGGGATGTCCCGATACCGATGCTTGCATCGGAATCGGGCCTGATACAGGGCATTTTGATAAGTACTTGTACTTGTCAAAATGCCCCGATGCCTAGCGCCGAAGCTTGCACTGTTTTGTTGTTTTTTTAACCTTCCGTGGTGGCTGGGGTCCTTTGGGCAGGCTGGAGGAGCTTCGCATCACTGCTGTGGGCGGAGCTCCAGGTGGGGTCTAATGTAGTTGGCTGGCGACTGCCCAGAGGACTCCTCCCGTAGCTCCGCCCACAGCAGTGACGCGACACTCCTCCGCTCAGCCTCTCAGTGAAGAAATCATTAGTTCTCTATACAGCCGTGTTGAGGGTGTCTTTGTCCAAGCCAAAATGGCCACCGCGAGCTGGAGACTCAGTCCAGGACAGTTTGTACTCTAGTGTCCAACAAATCGCTTCCATTTACTTACAGTGCAGTCTGTCCTACCCAAAATGGCCACCGCCAGCAAGAGCCCCAGTACAGGAAAGTTTATTCTCTAGTGTCTGGGAAATCTCCTTCATTGGAGTACATTCTGTCCTACCCAAAATGGCCGTCACCTGCCAGAGCCTTAGTTAAGTTCAGATTGGCCTCTAGTGTATGGGAGGTAACCTAGGGGATGGTGGGAGAGGACGGCTGTGTATGAGAGGGAGATAATGGAGGAGCTGAATAGATATATTAGAGGAATCAGAAATTATATAATGAGTAGGGGAGACATTTCAGTGTCTGTGGAGAGAGGGATCTGATGAGCCCTCCGAGAAGGAGATTATACAGGATGGCGGAGATACAGGTGGGATGGAGGAGAGAACAGAGTGAGGTCTAGCTGCGGATAAGGCAGGCTCCATTGAACAGGCACCAGTAAGTAAGGGCCTGTGCTGCCGAGATGGCAAGTGGTGTAGTTTTTGCCACTTCGCCAGTATTGTATTTATAATCTGATTGCAAGTGTACATTTACTTCTTCATATAGAGTATTAGGTTAAATCATGATCTATAGTATACTACATACATAACATGTAGTTGTACTATGGATCATGATTTAACCTAATCATGTTAGCAGGGGAATAGGGGATAATTGAAAAACTCTATTGCTGTAGTGTACTCTATATGTAGTACATGTACAGTACTTGCAGAGTATAATTGTAAATGTATTGTCTGCACTGTATTAGCAGTATATACTCTATATGTACTACAGGTCCGTGCGGTTGTCCGTACTCATACGCCGACAGGATGGATCCTGTCTGCGTCTGAGCCGGGTCACCCGCACTTGGGGTGAGCGTAGGGGGGCGTACGGCCGCGTACTCCCATAGAGAAGGAGGGGGCTGCGCACTAATCACACACAGCACCTGTCCTTCACCAGAGCTGCCCGATACGGCCGTGCACACAGCCGGAGCTGTACATGCCGGCCTTTTCTGTTCTGTGAATGAGGGCTTAATCTCAAACTACAGAGGGGACTCCTTACTGTTAAGGTGCCCACACACCTTGCGATAATCGCTGGAAATCCCGCAATCGTACGATTATCGCAAGGTGTGTGGAAGGCGTGCGACCTCTCCTACTGTAAGGTCGCACGACTTTTATCTTATGAACATGTTCGCAACCCCGCCGAGAATTGTCCGATTGTCGGCGGGTGTGGCATGTTCGCAAGATAAAAGCCGCAAGCGCACACTGCCCGTTTAGCATTGCGGTCATTGGAAGCCCGCCCCTCAGCGGGGCGTGCTTGCGATCATCGCAAGTACGATCTGCCTGTCCAAGATAAGCAGATTGTTCGGTTTTTTTTATTACCTTACAACCATCGCAAGACAAAATTCTTGTGATGGTTGTAAGGTGTGTGCCCAGCCTTAGAATGGTAAAATTGCGAAACTCCCTTTGCCAAGCAGTGGTATCAGCTGAGATTATTGACTCATTTTAGAAACTTTTAGCTGTTTTCCTCAGTGAACACAATTTACAGGGGTACAGGTACTCTTAGTGATACACATACATACACACACAAACACACACAAACACACACATGGGTGGAACTGGATGGACCTGTGTCTTTATTCAACCCTAACAACAACATAACATAGATTCAGAAATTAAGTTGATATTCCTACCTTCCAGCCAGGGACATCTTTCATAATAATGGCCTCTTGCTCTAAATTTATTCTCAAAGCTCGCAGTACCCTTTTAAATAAAAAAAATTGAGGTCAGAACTGTGTGCAGTCAAAAACAATAATGTTCACCATAGTAACTTTCACAATGGCAAAAATAATTCTTAAAGCAGACCTTCACCCTCTCGCTAAACTTTTCATATTGTTACTCCCCTCTCAGCCTCTTTCACAAAATCATAGCGAGAGACAGACTCCATTTTTTTCCCCCCAATTTAAACGGACCCCCTACTGTTTCTGTCATAGGCAAGAATGACATCCCCCAAGCCGTCCACAGCTTCCTGGAATACTTACGTCATGCATCTCAGGGGTCTTCAGGACAATCTACAGAACATGTGGCGTGTCATCAGGGGGCCGGCTGTCTCTTCCTGGGTCTTGTGGCTCGCCTCTGTGCACTATCAAGGGGCCAACTGCAAGAACCAAGAAGAGACAGCCGGCTCCCAATTACTTGAGAGGAAGATAGGAGCACGGGACCTGGTGTGCCGCAGGGAAGCAGCGGATTATAACTAAGCAACACTGGATTCTCTGGGCATGAGAGTTTGTTTATTAAGGATAAGCAAGCAAAAGATGTAAGATGGGATTCAAATATAAATACATATGAAAAAAACAAAAAACACACACACACACACATACATACACACACAATATATATATATATATATATACACACACACACACACAGTATATATACACAAGGAGGTGTTGTGCTTGATAAGCAAAACCAACCAAGAATAACATGGTTAGCTGGCAGCACAGTGCTAAAGTAGAAGACAAAAAAAGGTTTTGTATTTTGAGGACCTGTCTTCACACTACACTGCAGAACTATACGGACATTGTCCCCATGTTTGAATAACTTTCTTCTAGATGTCTATGTTCTTAGCTGGAATGAGTGGACATTGGATTTCAGCTAGGAATTAGGAGTCATTTACCTGACATTTCAGCAAAAATGGGGAGAGTCGGGTAACATTTTGCAATTTTGTCGAAATGCATTGGAGTCAACAAGGAAGCCAAAATTAAGTTGGCTTTTAATGGTATAATGAGCTTTAAATGGCTCCTAAGGACTACAGAAGCTCCTTTAAAAAATCCTGAAACTATTTTTGAGTATTGCAGTATGCAATGATGCCTTTCTTATTGGACTAATATTTAAAAAGGACAAGCTTTCAAGAGTTAACCTCTTCTTCAGGTCAGAAGACTGTCCTCAATCTCTTTTTCTATTTTAAAAGGAAAAATGTCAGGGGTCTTCCAAGTTAAAAAAAAAAAAAAAAAAAAAAAAAAAAAAAGGTAAAGAAATAAAATACAACCCCTCCCACATACACATATAACATACACTTGCAGTGTGAACCATATTGTGGTGTACGTCATGTAATGTGGTGCGTTGTTAGAACACATCGCAGTGCTTGATTTTTTTTTCTTTATTTTGAAACATTAATTCAACTGTGTGGCAGCGCATGGCAAAGCTCTGTTGTGCATTGCTGTGCATTGTCATCCTCTGTGTTGCCATTAAATGCATGCCTGCATAATTTTTATTACAAACACACAAACACAGCACACAAACGGCACTGCATATCAGGCATTACAGCACAGATTTTTTAGCATAAGTTGCTTATTTACAGTTTTATGTTCCTACTTTTTCACAAAAAGGCGCTATTTAAAATGTACAAATATGTGTTATTTATTGTCTCAATACAGTTTTATCTTCTAGTTTAATCTTGTAAATTATGGTTTTTTTGTGTGTGCACTGATACTCATTTTAGTGTGTTTCTATCGATTTAATTGTGTACTTTTATCGGTTTATCGTGGATTTGATAAACATTTGCGCAATTATCGCAGGACCTACAAAATTAGTAGTAGCATCTTTTTATTCTAGAGCAAGGGTGGCAAACACAAGGCCCGCGGGCCGAATCCGGCCCGCCGGACCTTGTAATGTGGCCCGCACAGCGCTGCCTGCTGTCAGGATGGCGGAGCAGTGAGGGGTACATATCGCCGCGAACGTCGGAATGAGAGCAATAATTGTAGGGCTATCAATCACTGATAACACTAAACTGATGAGCGGTAAAAGCTTTTAAAGCGTCACCTATGGTCAATTTTGGGCATGGTAAATTTTTGCGATTTTGCGGGTGCGCGCAATTTTAAAGCATGACATGTTTGGTGTCTATTTACCCGACGTGACCCCGACTCTTATATTTTAGCAAAAATATGGGTGATAAATGGGTGTGGTTACTGGGGGTGTGGCCGCTATCACCAGTAGCAACTGAATGCAGAGGCAACTATTTATGATAATAAAGAGTAGATGCATAGTCCTATACAACCGGCCCTTTGAGGGTAACCATACTGCTGATGCGGCCCCCGATGAATTTGAGTTTGCCACCCCTGTTCTAGAGGTTCTATGATTTCAGGAAATGTATGGTTTGGGGCGTCTTTTACAAACTCTAAAAACAGTAGTTGAAAATGAAAAAAAAAAAAAGAAAAAAAAATAGGGTGAAAAACTGGTCTGACCACCGGAGGTCAAAAGTGGAACATCGGGCTTGTGAAATCGTTAAAGGCTTCAAGAAAGCCACAAGAAACTTGCCGTTACCTTCCAATCCTACCACCCCACTGTAGACACTGCTTTTACACAAGCTGAAGCTCATGTGTACATGTCCTAAGTAAACAAAAATGCATTGAACCCATTAGTTCTGAAAAGGAAGGTGCTCTGACAATACATATGTATACCAGAAGTAACCACTTGATGACCGGGTTGTTAAACGCCCTTCCTGTCCAGGTCATTTTTCAGTATTCAGCGCTGCAGTACTTAAGACATTAATTCCGTCTTGCAACGCTGTACCAAAATTAATTTTATATCATGTTTTGGGGACACATAGAGCTTTCTTTTGGTGGTATTTAACAACCACTGGGGTTTTTATTTTTTACTATACAACCAACAAAAAGTACCGCAAAAAAAAAAAACTATTTTCCCTACATTATGTAATGAAACATTTATTATTATCCACTTTTTTGGTAAAATATAAAAGATGGGGTCACTTTGGTAAATTGATACCAAACATGTCCAGCCTAAAGAGAAAAAACCTACCATACCCAAAATTGGCCATAGTAGACTATGCTTTGTAAGCTTTTACCACTCATCAATTTAGTGTTAACAGTGATTGATGAAGCTAGAATTACTGCTCACACTCCGACATTCGTGGTGATATGTAATATGCGCTGCACAATCATCATTTTCACACGTAGGCACACCCGATGCATGTTTGCGTGTGTGTATATATGTGGGGTGGGGGACTTTAAACTTTTTTTTTTTTTTTACGTGACTCTTTTTTGTTATTGCTATCATATAGGGGGATAAGAAGCCCCCTATGTGACAGGTCCTCTTTACGGAGACATCAGGGGTCAATTCGACCCCTGTAACCTAGCGACCCCCAAAGAAGCTGATGAAGCAGAGATTCGCTTCACCAGCTTCTCTCCGGCTACAGAAGCCATAGCAATGACAGCTAAAGGCGGAAGTGATGTAACACACGTCACTTCTGCATTTAGAGATCAGAGGGGATATCAGCTGCTGGAAGTGTTCTGATCTCCATCTGATCTCAGTACCAAGAGACGCTGTGCCAGTCACGGGCCTGCATGGGGCACAGCAGAGCTTGGGATAGGTGGCGGGGGGACACACACCGCACACTCCAACACAACATACAAGCCATCGGGCAGCTCTATAGCCACCTGAACGCTTGTATGTAAACAGCCTTCGCCGGCTGTTTAACCCCTTCATGACTGAGTTTTTTTTCCAGTTTCTGTTCGTTAAAGACTGACTCACTTTTTACATTTTTGATGTGTGATTCTTCCATTGGAATAATGTATTTTTTTACTAAGTGCACCGACACATATTATATGTTGTTTTTTAGATGACAGATAGGGCTATATATTTATATCACATATGTGTACCTAACGCCTCACTTAGGATGCATATAAAAAAAAAACAATTTAAACAAAACACTTTTTCCCCAGTTTTAAATTAATATAAATTCTTAGAAAAATAGCACAGCTAAAAAACAATGCATTCAAATAAGTTCATTTACTTGTCCTTTATTTGGAAACACCTCACATCCCTAGGATTTTAGAAAGTTTTCTGTACTTTTCAGCCTAAAACTAAAAGCTAACATTTTATTTTTGTTTCTCTAAAAGCTAATAGTGGTCACCGGGCATACAATGTCACGGTCACATTTAGTGATAGCGACATAGTGTGAATATCGCCGCTATGAGGGGGTTAAAAAAAACATTTTACCCTTTAGGTTGAAAAATCTGCAGCTGCAGATTTTCATTGTAAGGGGTTAATTTTTATAAAAATTATAAAACATACATACACACTATTTATTTACCATTTCTTTTTTTTAACACTTTACACTATTATTTTCCCCACATTTGTTACACTTTTATTTCATTTATTTTTAATGATATCAAGCAGTCACTGTGGATGGATCTCACTATGATTGCTTGATAGTTTATTTCATTAATTTTTGGTATTAGGCTGCTCTAAATTTAGGAACAGCCAATAGTAACCTTAGTAACACTGAGGCTTACATGCTGATCCTGCAGCATTTCAGGATCCGATGTCATTAAAGGCTTCTGATCGTTCCCACAACGATCAGAAGCCTGAAACAATGTTTCAGCAAAGAGACATCTTGCTAAATGTTTCTATTCTGAAACATTAGGCAAAAAGCCAGTACACAGGATTTCCTAATCCCGATCTGTACCAGCTGTCAAACAGTGACAGCAAGTGCAGTAAATACCGCACTGCTATCACTGTCAGACACCCAACTCCTAAAAGGGATCTTCATTAATGGATGTCTCAATACGGTCTCTCAGCGGTTACCTCCATTACAGAGCCCCAAACAGCTGCTCCCGTACAGTGTACATGAGTAGTCATTTTGGCACTTAGTGACGGGGACGTACAGTGCACGTCTCCCATTACTAAGGGGATAAATTGCAAATAGTTTTAAAACGCCCACCCACATTTAAGAAGCCACAATCCGGCCGTTTGAATACAAATGTCTTTGATTTTTGATCTGTCACTTGCTTCATGTATTTATTAGCAGCATGTAGAGTTAAGCAGCACAGATTTTCCAAATGCCATTCTTCCCCATAATGATAATCTGTTACAAAGCAAACACCTTTGTGATAAGGCTCTAAGGGAAACCGCCATTCCCTGCCTGATGTGTACTGCATTTTAGTTTGGGTGCAGTGCCTCTAAATCTATTCACCAAATCATTGGGAGGCACATGGGTCAGGGACCAAATGCTTTTATCAGAGCATCACCACACTGGTGTTTTGTCACAAGCACATAGGGTTTAATAAATCCTAAGAGCAAATAGTGGGAATGTCGCTTCTGCTTCTGTTTGAGCTCTGACAAGTGTGGCCAGAGCAAGAGGGTTTACTAGGACATAGTAAGACGAAAAAAATACTTACCTCCTATCGTATTCTGCCTGTAATAAAGGCATCAGTGCTAATCGAGCCTCTAGATCTTCAATGTATCGTCGCCTGGATTACAAAAAATAAATTAGATGTGAGATATTAACTACTGAACAATAAAAACAAAATACTTGTTCCACTACAACAGGGAACAACTGCTACCTGCTTTAATATTAACAGAATCTCAAAAAGGGAAAGTTTGGTATACCAACAAACAGTTTTTATTGGTTATATCATTTAGTAAGGGATTCTATGTGTATATGGCATCTGATGGACTTTTAAGCCAATATTCAGTGAAATACAGTATCCTGTGGGAAAGAGATCATAACATACCGCGTTTCCCCGAAAGTAAGACCTACCCCAAAAATAAGACCTAGTTCGGTGGTAGGTCTTATATTACAGAAATCCGCTAGGTCTTACTTTTGCAGCTCACGCACGCACGATGGAAGCGACATCCGCCGGGACCGGCAACAGCACGCCGCCTTCCGGGACCTGGTCCAGTCCTCCCCCAGCCAGGTAAGACATCCCCCGAAAATAAGACCTAGTGTCTTATGTCGTGCAAAAAAAATAAAATAAGACAGTGTCTTATTTTCGGGGAAACACGGTAGCTAACAAATGCCATCACTCAGGAGGAGGGTTGTGATGCATTTCATCAAACATTGCATTTTGAGCAAGTGTGGATCGGGTCAGCAGACAAAAGGGATAGGAGATTTCACCTTTTTCTTTAGTGTCATAAAACAATACAGACTAATGATTTTAGGATAGTGGTGGAGCGCCAGGGCCTGGTCACAGCTGCAACTGCTCCAACCCTGGTAGTTCTGCCACTGACTCCAAGCTGTAGAGGAACTACAAATCTCAGCAATACATTATATAGCAATGTAGAATATCACCAGCTATAGAGGACTACAAATCCTAGCAATGCATTATACAGCAAAGCAGAATAATACCATCAGCTAGAGGACTACAAATCCTAGCAATGCAGAATAATAGTCAGCTATAAAGGACTGCAAATCCCAGCAATACATTATACAGCAATGCAGAATAATACCATCAGCTATAGAGAACTGCATATCCCAGCAATAAATTATACAGCAATGCAGAATAATACCATCAGCTATAGAGAACTGCAAATTCCAGCAATGCAGAATAATACAGTCAGCTATAGAGGACTGCAAATCCCAGTAATACATTATACAGCAATGCAGAATAAAGCACAGGACAGAAACAGCAGGTGATATTTCTAAAATAGCTGTGGAGTTCAGGTGCAGTTTTGCTGCACCATACCTGTAAATAGCACACTCTGTGTTGCTGTTCTGCTCCGGCGTGCCAGCCTGATGTCTCTGGGCAGAGAGTCTGAGAAGGGGGAGATGTGGGGGCCAGCAGAAGTGCTGTAAACAGAGGTGCAGCATGGTTCCCAAGAAAGCTTACGCAAGGTGCCCAGCAAGTGCAGGACCTAAGGCAGCCGCTTAATTTGCATAATTAAAGTGCCGGTATTGGGTTTTGATATCGGAGTACTCGTGCAAATGCTCAATTTCTGAGCCAATACTGGTATCCGTGCATCCCTATTTTCTACCTATAAATATGACTCAAAATGTGCATATTATAAAGCATGACTTTCAGTTAAAAGACTTAGCAATCCACAGAATTTCAGATACCTCCTTTCTCTATTCCACATGCCGATGCTATAGTATCCATAGATCATGACTCCTATACCTACAGCAAACATAGTATAACCTGGAGAGAGAAAAAAAAAAAAGTTTATAATATAGAGCTCTCTAAACAAAATACGGTAAACTCTAGATTATCCGGTATTCAACTAACCAGAACTCTCGTCTGACCAGAAGAAAAAAAATCTCTTGTGTACTCACTGTTCTGCGGCATGTATTATCCTGGGACTTATCTGAAGGACAACAATGGCCTTTGGTGCCCGCATTTATCTCTATTGTTACCTTAAATGCTGTTTATGCCAGGGCAAGTTCTATTTAAAATGTATTTCTGTTAAAAATAAAAACAAATACCCCACCAAAATGTCTACTGGCCACCTTTGGAGTACTGAGTCTTGTCATAAGTTAAACTGGCCCTTGTCTAGAAGTGTTTTCCATTTCAGACCTTTCTGTAGGGATGCTTAAACAATGAGAAAGAATACATTGATAACTTGCTCAATTTTCTTTTTGGGAATTTATAACCACGTATATGTATGTTAATGTTTTAACAAAAAGAAACACATAAACTTTAATTGGCTACCAGTTAACCCCTTAAGGACCAAGCTTCAGATGCTTGTACATCAGTTAAGGAATTTTTGCTGTGTGTGTTCAACCGCAATTTCCTTCTTTCTCATTTTTTGCACCAACACATATTATATACCATTTTTTATGGTATAAAAAAAAGGGCTTTAATTTGATGTGACCTATGCATATATAAGTTTTAAGGAAGCTTAAAACCTTAAGGACCCATGACGGAATTATTCCATCATGGGTCCTTATGGCATGGACAACCATGACGTAATAATTCCGTCATTGGTCCTTAAGGAGTTAAACATAAAACCAAATCCACCCCTACCCTATGCCTTATGCTAAAGATTTCAGTAAAAACAACTTTTACACAGGGCACAATGGACAAAATATACAGTACACATGAACCTGCTTGGTGGCATCAAAGTTGGACTCTATAGGGTCTATTTATAAATCTTCTGCTCAGCCACACACTGGATGAAGGGCATCAGTACAGCATTCTTGCAATTAGATAGAGGCGAGAAGCAGAGGAATTCATATGCTCCTCAGCTCCATCCAGTGGTGGGAGTGCCTTACAAACGCTTTAGATGGTTCAAATTGATGCATTGTGGCGCCCTGGCAAGGTGCGTTAAGGTGAGAGGTTATATCTGAATAGGGCCTTAAAGTGGCTATATACAGTATAATACAAGGTCAATCAAAAAGTAATACCTCCAGGTCTGTAATTTGATGTCCATTAGTGGCTTGCATCTCAACTGGTGGGTCACAACCCCATGTTCAGTGGTTTGCCGCATGTCTTCCACTGTACTAGGTGAGAGGCTGCACAGCCTCCCCCACAAGGCAGCACTGCCAGTTCTCGGGCCGAGCAGCCTATCAAAATATGCAGCCCAACGCTGAGTGTCAGCTTGAGGTGGGGTGGGCTGGAGGTATGGCCATGAGGGAGCTTTATCCATATATGCATTGCTTACAGCTTCCTCACGTGACCGGAGTGACGCTACAGCTCGCGGTATACTGAGCCTAGGGTGACGGGAGGACGCTAGTTTGTGTCCTCCCATTACCCTAAGGAGAACTATGGGGAAAAGACTTAACCCCATAGTTCTCCTTTAATGACCAAGAACAAATGTGGGTCCTGAGGTTATACAGGTTGAGAACCACTGCATTAGTGACTGTGGATGTTCATGTACCATGTTATAGAGGCGTCCTTACCCCACTAATGCATACTTTTCTTTTTCAGATTGAGTGATTAGAGCCATGGATCTGCGGCTAAAACAGGTTTGCACAGCTGAGGAAATCCATAATCAGTGGAGGTGCACCGAAATGGAAATTTTAAAAACGAAATCAAAATAAAAAAAATTGTCAGGCCGAAACCGAAAATGTTTTTTATTTAAATTTTTTCAAATATTTAATTTTTTACAATTTATTTTTATGTATTCATTATTTATTAAATATTTTTTACTTTTAGGGGCTTTGGGGAAATATTGGGGGTCTAAACAATGTTCCTGTTCATTGATAACATAAGTACATTGTGTGTTTACTATAACCACAATTATGAATGAACAGGAGGTGATGTAGATCACTTCCCATTCATTTATAAGTGAGGATATAGTAGCCATACTCTGTCCTCAATTATTTACAAACACTCAGCGATCACTGAGTGTTTGCACTTGCTCTTCTCTCGGACACGCTGTCACAGGAGGCTGATCGAGCGGTGTAGGGAGGAGAGCTCAGCCTCCTGTGACAGCGCTGTCTCCGCCCCCACACCGCTCTGCTGGGCTGTGATAGGAGGCTGAGCGGTGAGGGAGGAGAGACGCCGGCCACTCAAATCGCTCTCCTCCCGCAGTGCTCAGCCGCCTGTCACAGTTTCTCTCCTCCCCACTGGGACACAGAGCAGCTCCCAGCGGGGAGGAAAGAAATCACGGATGCGCCGATGTATCGGCAGGAAAATGGCACTTTCGCCATTATGCCAAAAGTTGCATTTTCGGCCGATATGTTTCGGCGGCCGATATATCGGTGCATCCCTAGTAATCAGCTAAAGAATGTTTATGGGGACGCTGTAGTGGAATTTCGGTTTCTCCTTCTTGAAACTTCTATACCCAATGCTGCACATTGCTAATGTCCACTACAGCGTTGCCATAAACATTATTTAGATTATGGATTTCCTCAGGTGCGCAACCCTCTTTCTCCAGAAAACACCTTGAAATCACGTCAGCATGTGTTTGATGCATTTCCCTTAATTTTAATGGAAAAAAAGAATCAAGGAAAAAACAGTATTCTATCAAAGATTGTGACTGGGTTGGAATGTGTGACCGGTCACATGGTCACACATTTTAATGTAATCACGCCCATTTTTTCCGGGGTTAAAATAAGTGATCGGCAAAGGTGTAGAATTCAAAGCTTTCTCAGCTGTTCCAGGGCAGATGATTGGCATCGCAGATCGTATGTGCAGGAGAACCCGACCTGCCCTGGAACAGCTGATCGGTCCTGAAATGTCACTTCTATCCAACTTTATGAAATGTCAGATCGCACACACAAAGTCGGATAGAAGTGACGTTTCACTTCTATCCCACTGCCTGCGGAATGACCGCTCTCCGCAGGGATTACCCCCTATCCTCTCCGATCCTCCAGTGCTGACTGGAGGAAAGGATGAGGGAGGCGGTAGACACAGACAGGCAGAGCCCACTGTCAATCAGCCAGCGGGTGGATCTCGACAGTATTGTCAGGATCCATCCAGGCTGTGGAGCGGCTCTGCGTTCTCAGCATATAGCATGCAGTAGCCCGCTATATGCCGAGTTTTGGGTCACATGACATAGTAGATGTCATCCTGTGACCATGAAGAGAACTATAGGCAAAAAAAGGTCATCATAGTTCTTTTAATAAGCTGTAACAATTCATTTTAAATGAAGCGCCTGTGCTGGCCATGTCAGACTGAAGCCACCATTATCATAATACAGAGATGATAACATTAAGGCTGCGTCCTCTTTGGCTTCAGCAATCAGCCCTGGCTCTAGCAGACGGTGACAGCCCGGTGTCTTCCCGTCCATCACACTATACCAATAACACTAACCGCTCACACCCTGCTCCCAGTCACCCACCGCTAAAGCCCCGACGAGGCAGGTTCCTTTTATAATCCACCGGGCCGTACCCCCCTGGAGGGGGCATGTCCTGCTTCACCTTGGACGCAGCCATCTTCCCCGCTGTACAACACCGAGGCCGAACCTGACACTGTCACGTGACTAGAGGAAGTAACGCCAGCATCCGCTCATCGACGCCATGTTTGTTGGGGCAGCGAATCACGTGATGCAGTAGTCGGTTAAATGATCACCTCAGTGACAACGACCATGTACGCCATGACGTTATACCAAGTTCTGTATTAGGGCATTACTTTACTAGAAATAAGTGCAAGCATAGGATTAGGACTTGTTTGTAATTTGCAGGTATACCCAGGGCCGGATTTACTCCCCCCCCCACCCCTTGCCATCAATGGAGAATGGCAACCAGATGGCAGGGTTAGTTTCAATTTTTTTTTTTATTGTTTCTTTATTTTTGTAACTTTTAATTTTTTTATTTAATAATTTTTTATCAATTATTTACAATTTTTTTAGATTTTTTTTATCTTATTTACTTTTTTAGATTTTATTGTTTATTTTTTTATAATTATTTTCTTATTTTTTACTTTTTAATCACCTTATTTTTTTACTTATTTCATATTTTAAAATTTTTATTTAATTTATTTTTCACCCAACTTTATTGCTATCACACAGGAGAAACAATCCCCTGTGAGATAGCAATTGGAGGTGACAGGTTCTTTATTGACCCTGTCACCTCCAATACAGGAGTTCTAGCACAGCACTGTGCTGGAACTCTTGTGACAGGTGAGAGAGGAAGAGCACAGCTCTCCCCTCTCACTGTGTAACCCTGCCGCTCTGCTCACCACATCGGTGGCCAGTGAGGAGACAGACTTGGCAGCAGAACAAGGAGGACGGAGCCAGTGAGGAGAGAGGTAAGTGCAGGGGGTAGGGGTGGGAGGCTGCAGACTTTTTACATGTGATCACAGTGACATCGCCGAGATCACTTGTAAACGAACAATCGGCTTCCCTCACTCTACATTTAGTCCTGCTTGTGCAAAGCAGGACTAAATGTAGAGAGGGCAACTTACTGCCCGGCGCTCGCAACTTCCTCACAAGGACACCTGTGCCCTGCCACCCAAGGCCGGGCTTCGGTGGCCTTGTGGGGAATCCGGCCCTGCGTATATACCTGCTGAAGTTGTACAGTAATTGGAGTTTGGCTTTACAATTTAAAGGTTGTGGGTGGGCCGTTGACTTTCATACTTTGGATTATGATTACATTAGGCCTGTGTAGATGGTCTTTGGACTTGTGTGGTCATTGTGACATTGGGATAAGATGCTTCTGAGACCATTCACAATTCATTGATAGGTGCATTTGACTTGCATTCAATCTCCTTCTGACTTGCAATGGACCTGCTTGAGGGCCCATTCACACCACATCCAGATAACCTCCAGACCCAAACTGCATCCTAATGTATCCCTATGCTATTTCTGGCCTCTGTTCCCCCCCAGCAGAATACGTTTCAGACCAGACAAATACTGCATGTCTCATTTTGTCTGGTCTGGAACGCAAAGAAACGCATCACAAATACATGAAACACACCTGTAAGACCATTTTAAGCTAAAAAATAAATACATTTCCAAACGCAGCGACTGCACTATGTTCCAGATCTGGTCTGGAAAATGGTGTGAACCCAGCCTCAAGCAGGTTTAGCCTTCCTATAATCTTGTACGGGAATAAAATCCCACCTGCTGCAAGAAAGAGCTTGCCGACACAGTCCTTATATTTCTTCTAAAATATGCTGTCCCTAGGAAACAGTATTGATGATATTTTTTTAGCTGCTAAAGGCCAGGGGTAGGCAACCTCTGTAGTCCAGCCGTTGTGAAACTACAAGTCCCATGAGGCATTGCAAGACTCTGCTTGCCATAGGCAGGACTCCCAGAGACAGATACATGGTGGGATTTGTAGTTTTCCCACAGCTGGAGTGCTGAAGTTGCCTACCACTGGTATAAGCAATGATATGTAAACTATACCAACCCAAGTTTTGGATAGAGTGAGGAAGCGTCAGAACCCTTTGGGTTTTACTGCTCTCCAAGGATCCACAAGGGAGATTTCCCCTCACTTCTTGTCCTGCTGACAATTCAGACAGGAAGTGAGGGGAACTCTCCAACAAGAATACAGATAGAAGTAAAAATGCTTTTCTTCAGCAAAGTAGGGAAAAGTTAAAAACCCCTGTAAAAGTTTTGTTTTTATCTCCCCGTTTGTTTCTCGCTTCCTGTCAGATAAAATCATTGTATGCAAGACAGGAAGTGAGGGGGGGGAAAAGAAAAGTGCAATAGAGCACTCGCTTGCTGTCAAAACCCAACATAGGTTATAATCCCTTCCCATTCTATCCCAAACTAGAAAACAATTGGCTTGATATACATTTTAAGGCAGTTGTAAATAATATTCATTGAAGGAGATTTATCAAAACGGAAGCAGACAAAATCTGGAACAGTAGTGCATGGCAACCAATCAGCTTCTGTCTTTCATGTTCAAAGCATAACTGAACAAACTGAAGAGAGGAGCTGATTGGTTACTACGGGCAGCTGCTCCAGTTTTGATAAATTTCCCCAAAATGTGATAATATATATATATATATATATATATATATATACACACACACACACAGTATATATATTATATACACACACACACACTATACTTTTTGGGTGGTGGGGCTTTCCCTGACTTCATGGATAAGCCCTGCTAGTTGATATTTCATTGACTAATACTGCCTGGGTGGACAGTATGAACACTCTCAGGCAGGAGAAGTGAACAATCTAGGACAACATAGCGGGTTTGGAAGAATTCTCCAATTCAGCTCACGTTCCAGTTCAGCTATGTTGTCCTAGATTGTTCACTTCTCCTGCCTTCTCCAAACTCTTCACCCTTTTGTGAATAACCCTGAAAGAGTCCATTCACACATCTCCATGCAAGAACGTATACATTACCACAGTGCACGTTTATGTGCATTGCAGTTTATCTTCAAGAGCATCGCAATGCATCTCGCGTACCAGCGTTGCAGCACTGCCATGCATTTTGGTGTGCTGTGTCAAGGAAAAAATGTGGCGCATGTCCAATTTTTAGCCCGTTCTGGTGCAATGACAATACCTTAGCACAACCCTCAATAACAGACCACTTACATGTGTTGTTATAGATGAAGCAGATGACTTTAAATGGGCGCTTTCCATCCACTTGCACAGATGAATGACAGGTTATTTTGGGATGCATTAACACCTAAGGTTGAACATTAAATAACATAACGTGTTGTCACATCACTTGCTGCATGTTGTGTATATGCGCATTTATTTCGGCTCAGACCTCAAAATGTGTCCACATACCAAAAAAACAAATGACCCAGTTTGTTTTCCTTTGCACCACAGCACAGCTATCTACCAGAGTATGCACTGCACTGTGTTGAGAGCCATGTGTGATGTTTGCTGAGTGAATGCGCATTTGGGACCCATTAGAAAAGAATGGTTAACACACACATGGGTACGAACGGAATCTTAGAGCCCATTTGAAACAATGATCCTGCAACGCACGATAACACTGTGGCACCCATACACATCGCCCACTGTCAGAATACCCAGAGACAGCAGCTCACTGGCTGTCGGTGTTCTATCATTTCATCGGACCCATGACTTCTTTGGACGTCCGTCCGCGCAAACGCAGTGAGGCACCAGGTCCATAATTCTCATGGACCAACACAGCTTATCAGCGTGTGAAGGGCTCAGCCGTCCATGCAAGCGCACTGTGGCACCACGTCTGTAAATTTTACAGACCAAGAGTTTAGCAATGCAGAACTCTGACTAACTACCACACATGCTTCAGTCAGTCATGAGTTTATATATATGTATATACATAAATAATCAATCAGGAGTGACTGAAGCATGCGTGGTAGTCTGTCATAATTCTGCATAGAACCTCGCTGCTAAACTCTGTTGGTCTGTGAGATTTACAGACGTGGTGCCACAGTGCACTTGTGCAGATGGCCGAGCCCTTCAACGCTAATAAGCTGTGTTGGTCCGTAAGAATTTCGGACCTGGTGCCCCACTGCGCTCGGGTGGACAGCCAAGCCCTTCACATGCCCCCGGAGGTCTGATGAAGTCACAGGCCCAATGAAAAGATAGAACACTGGCTGTTAGTTCCCAGGCTTTCCGATTGGCTCCTTCATTCAGCTGATCGAGTGATGCCGGCCAAAAGGGTGCCGACAGCAGCACCCACTATGCGAAATTCGGTGTATGGCCACCTTAAGAGTAAAATGTGAGTTGCTATACTTTGTCCTCAGCACTTTATGATTCATGTTCCACATATACTTCTGATCTCACCCAGAATTGCTTATCAAACTGCCCTCTCTGCTCCATTGACCAAGGTCCTCTACAGTCCCTCAAAATTCACATTGTGAAAATTCATCCGGTTTTGCGGCTCGGGTGAGTATACCTTTGTTTTTTTTACACCCTAGATGAAAATGAGCACTTAACCCTTGCAGGGTGGAGGTAGCCCTACTGCAAGGGATAAGAAAACTTGTTGCCAGAGTTCTTCTTTAGCTTTGGGAATAGGGTATGGTACAGAGTTTGGGGAAGCCGAGCCTTTAGTAATAAAGTTTTATTTGACCAGGGCACAGAGAAGAGGGGTTTCTTGTCATTAAAGGGGACCCTTTGACTTGTAAAATGTAATTAATTTAAGATTTCTGTGGGAAAGCAGTATGATTGACAGATGGATAGGGCCATACAAAAGCATGGGTGGTTCTTAACATTAGGATGGGCCATAGTCCTGAAGTTGAGCCCTTCAGCCCTATTCACACCTGAGCATTTTGTACCTCCAAGCTACAAAACGCTCAACATTAAAAACATTAGAAAGCAGGCAAGCATACAAATATTCATTGGGGGCAATTTATCAAAACTGGAGAAGACAGAACCTGAAGCAGTTGCCCACAGTAACCAATCATCTTCTCTCTTCAGTTTGTTAAGCTTTGAAAATGAAAGATAGAAGCTGATTGGTTGCCATGGGCAACTAATCCAGATTTGGTCTGCTTCAAATTTGGATACATTTCCCTCCTATTTATTTTCAATAGTAATGTTTACTTGAATTTGTTAAGCTTCTATAAGAACTGCATATCAATTTCATTATTGTACTTGCCTTACAGCAACAGTGAAGCAGAAGCGAACATCGTAAAAATACAAAAAGAACAACTAAGGCTTTAGAGTCGACACATGCTGCAAAGTTGATCTCGGTCTAGAATTATGTTTGCTGTCAATCAGCTCCTAAAAGACTTGGGCTACAATGTGGTGCGTACCATCGGTGAAGGTACCTTTTCCAAGGTCAAATTAGCAACATCTCAAAAATATCACCGCGATGTTGCTATTAAAGTGGTGGATAGAAGAGAAGCACCAGAAATATACTCCACAAAATTACTGCCTCGTGAGCTGGAAATACTAAGGACTGTCAACCATCCTAATGTCATAGCTGCCTACGAATTTATTGCCGTAAGCAACGGACTGCACTTTATAGTAATGGAACTGTGCTTCACAGATCTACTGAAGGTCATAGAGGATAATGGGAGACTGACAGAAGCCAAGGCCAAATCTCTCTTCCAGCAGATTGTCTGCGCTATGAGTTATCTGCACCATAATCAGATCGTTCACAGGGATCTCAAGTGTGAAAATATTCTCCTGACGGAGGATCATAAGGTCAAGATCACAGACTTTAACTTTGGGAAGTTGCTAGACAGCACAGACTTGTCTACCACATACTGTGGTTCTGTGGCATATGCTTCACCTGAGGTGAGCTTGTAAATGCGTGCAAAGTAAAATTGGTGTGGTGGGAGTGGTCAACCTATGTGTAGGATTTAAAACAAAACTATACTGATCCATCTCTTTAGCTGAGAGCAACAATTTCAAGCATCCATGCGCTCACAGGTTCAATGTGATTCTATATACAGTATATTAAATATAACACTTATGCATGATAAATGATCTACAGAGCATTAGGAACAGCTAAAGAAATTTGGTGTGGAGGCTGCAGTTTTCCATTAAGTTCTCCCTCCTTAAAGGGACATTGTCTGTGCAAAGAGGACCTTCACCTTGAATGCAATCCCCCTCAGCTTTCTCCATTGCAGCTGGCACTAAAATTCCTAGTGTTGGCTGGAGTCACAGTGCAATGACATCACTGCCTCTATCATGTGACAATGCTCAGTGCTAGCATTTTCCCTGCTAGACTGGAGCACTCTCACACGGAAGGAGGTCACATGCTCTTTCATACCCAGATGCACCTGAACGAGCAGTGTCAGTGTCTTGTTGATGCTGCCGAGAGAACTCCGATTTGGGGAAAGGCAGATCACATGATTTTTGCCAGGGATTTGCTCCTCTTTAATCTTCTGAATATATGTTCCAAACTAAATAATTTTGGAAAACGACCCCGTTTAATTTCAATTCCAAATTGCATATTTACATTTCCATATTGCCATTGTCAGTTTTGCAAATGCACACAAAATGTATGTATCATAATGCATGTGCCAATATTACTAGTGTATACATTGCACAGAAAATATCATACTGATACAATATGTATAGGCATATCACAAGAAAACAAACCACGATTACCATAATTTTTTTATTGCTATACTCTTTTCAGAGTATATATGGTTTTGGAGGTCTTTAATGAGTAATGCATTTTACTTGTGGGATCCAAAATTGTAGGAGCCCAAGAGAGTAATTCCAAAATATGCAAAGTCATGTGATTAAAGGAAGCTTGTGCCAAAACATCTCTTCTGAATTCAATACTTTCTAAAACCAGATTTAAAAATATGTCAATCTTATGTAGGGAGGAACTTCTATTGGATCCAATGACTCTTGCGTCGGTGGTGTCAACGTTAATTGTATTGTCTGTTGTAGGTACTGCAGGGAATCCCATATGACCCAAAGAAATATGACATATGGAGCATAGGCGTGATACTCTACATGATGGTAATAGGTACTTTTCCATTTGATGACAGCAACATCACTGCCTTGCCAGAACTTCAGGAGAAGGGTGTAGAGTTTCCGAAAGACTTGACTTTGGACAAAAAGTATGAAAATCTTATCAAAGCATTACTGGAATACAGCCCTCATCAACGACCAGACATTGGCGCAGTCTTAGTGCACAGCTGGCTAGAAGAACCAATAAACCAAGCAGGTTAAATACAAAAAAAGTCTTTTTTTGGGGGGCTTTTCCTTTTACTGAAACCCAGGTGCACTTTCATGAACTCCAGCACTAAAGCTGGCAATAGACATAGTACAGTTGGACATTTTGATATGATCTGTCACACTGGGGGTATTCATCAAAACTGGAGCAGACAGAATCTGGAGCAGCTGTCCATAGGAACAAATCAGCTTCTCTTTTCAGTTAAGATTTAAAAATGAAAGAGAAGCCAATTGGGGGCCATAGGCAACTGCTCCTATATATGTAGTAAAAATGTTTTGATAAATTCTTCTCACTGTGCTTTGGCCCAACATCTGACCAGAAAATTCTGGTCATAGGAGTGTACATGTTAAGGCAACAATCATGTGTTTTCATGTGCTGCTGTTGTCCTTAATAGGCTGATTAAAAAGGTGTTGATCTATTAAGACACAACACACATCAACCCATTTAGAGAGGCACTATAAAAGTTAGCGCTTGTAGTGGAGCTACCCCCGCACTGCAATTGCCTTAGATGTGATGTCATGGGTCCTTGGACCACCGGAGCCCAGGAAACAAACAAAAAAAGGGACAAGTCTAGCAGCCAGGTGGGATATCAAGGATCAGGTAAGTATATCTTAGTTTTGTTTTTTTTAGCCTGTAGAACAAATTGCTAGGGTTAGTTTGTGACAATTCCCGGAGGTCCTCTTAAAAATAATGGCATAGCCGTGTACATGCATTGATCCGCGGTAAAGCAAGTAGGTGTAGAGGGGCCCTAAAGCTGAACTCCAATCATATAAAACATTTCATTTGAACAGAGTATTTAGCGGTTTGCCTGACGCTCTGCTTTAAAAAAGGAACAGGAGAGAAATAAGAAGATTCGGTGATGTCACCATTGTACTGCTTGTTGATCTTGCTGCAGGCTTTACATGAAAACACAAAGCCCTGCCTCTACAGAGAAAGTGCAGAACAAATCAAGGCAAGTCAGTAATGTTGCAGAGAGACAGTGGGCAATGCTCAATGCTAGTGAATAGTCCATTGCCCTCTGCCTGCCTATTTTTGGTCAGAGCTTTCAGAGTTCCATTTCTCTAAATTGCTCCAGCTCTTTAACTATGGTGAAACTACAAATCCCATAATGCATTTATCTCTGGGAGTCATGCCTGTGAGAATCTTGCAGTATCTCATGGGATTTGTAGTTTCACCACAGCTGGAGGGCCAGAGGTTCCCCACCCCAGTTTTAAACAGTCACATTAAAGCGTTAACACACCTCTTTTGTAGCCAACACATACTGTTAATGACTTACTTTTGCAGCTTTGATTGCAATTATACTATTTCTGTGGTTTTCACCCCTGTATACAATGCCATTGCACACTACGCCCTCGCCCCCCCAATGTCCCTGGACTGCATCGCAGAAATGAAGACCATAAAATGAAGTAAAAAACTCACACAGAAAGAGAATGAGTTGGCTTAGTTATTTATTAATATTATTCAGAAATGCGGTTCTGGCCAGTGTGATTAAATAGAAACGGCTAGTTCTATCAGTGATGGGGCATCCCCAATTCCCACACACTCTAGCATGCTCACACACACACTATGCTTTTCCCACAAGTCAAAAAACCTGCACTCCTAATATCAGGAGAACAGTGTTTCAACAAAGACCTCCATACAAAACTATCCTTTTATTGGGTGGAAGGTAATCCAATAAGCCTGTATGTAAAGATATAGTTTACTTTCCAGCCCTATTGTAAACATCAAGCTCCACAACATTCTTCCAGCAATCTAGTCTTGCTGCATGAGCTGCTGCCTGTGCTGGTGGCACATGATTGCCAATGGGGCCAACCCCATATGCTGGCAGACAACTGCAGTGTGTGCAGCAAAGGTGATCGGCCCGGAATCTTGCAGATCTGGAAATTGACATTGGGGCTGCAAAAGCAGTTATAATTTTACATGTAAACAAACTTCATTACACAACACCCAAAATTTAAATAGTTTTGGTTAGAAGTATTTAATATATATATAATAAAAATAAATTGCAAAAGAAAAAGGAGGGGTAGTTAATTTGACGGATTCAAGAAATTGAAAATAATTGTTTGCTAAACCATTTGTACTCCTCAAATCAGGAGGCTGAGGTTTGGAGAACAGATGTTCTGTAAGTGAACTCAAAGATTCTCTCCTTTGTAGGCCATGTATCCAAAAGAACAAAAAGACAAGTGAATGGGTTTACAAGCAGTATTTTGTGCATTTGTAATTAAATAAGAAAGTGCCCCCCCCACCACTCCCAAAAAACAAAAAAAAACACAAACAAAAACCACCCAGGCATTGCAATTAATTTGAATTATAAAAAGTTTGTCCAAATACACCTGAGTGTGTTATTCTCTACTTATATTTTATGTGGGAGCAAACATGGAGGGGAGGGGGGAAGCATAATAAAATTAGAAGTTCCCCTGAAAAAAGTCCTACATTGCGGAATGAAAAAAAATATATATATCAGTCTCTCATACTAATCCATCATACACACAAAAAGTCAAGTTTGAATTCTAGGGTTTATCATTTATACAAATAAGGGAAAAAATAAGTTTCCATTCCCTCCCAGAAAACCCCCTCAAAAAAAAAAAATGAAAACAAAAAAAAAAACTAAACCCTAAACAACTGCATATATCAAAAAAGTATCTAAACAGATATCCACACAACAGAAAGAGGATTAAAATAAACATTATTGTAAGGGGAAGAGAGGATTTAGCATTTGACAAACTACTTTTCTGCCAATCCAACACTTCCGATGGCCTTAAATAAAAACATGGTTTACCAGCAAAACTGGGGTCATCGCCCGATTACGATGAAACTGAACACAGGGAAAACGTAAGACGACTGTCCCATTTAGCTTTCCATTTTATTGTTGCAACTTTTTTTTCTTTTTCTTTTTTTTTGCAAAGTCAGTAGACAGGAATAAAGGACAGCCATCGAAACAGCCTGAAAATCAAAAAATTCTAGAATGCAGCAGTTTACCTAAAACAGAGGCCTGAACCAACCTCACAAAATGTCCTCTAACCCTTCACAAGCTTGAGTCCAGTGAAAACTAAGCAAATTGGATTAGAGCAGAAAGAGTCGTATTCAAATATCCTTCTTCAGATAATGAATGTCATACAAATGGGCCATCCACAGCAACACACTCCGTGGGGCATAAAACTTTTTTTTTTTTCCATAGAGCTATTTAAATAGAACTATATTTGATGCATTTAACAAATGCTTTTGTTCTGACTGGACCTGTTCTGCTCCAGAATCAGAAGTGGACCTGATCTATTCAGCCATGCGAAAAGAGAAAAAAAAAATACTCCCTCAAATTTACAAGAAAAAAAAAAAAATAATAATCCAGTTATATCTTCAAACTGCATTGTGGAGAACTCTCTGCTGCCTTCTTTTACATCAGAGAGGGAAGTAGTTTTTATTAAGGGAAATTAATTGAAGAAAAAAAAATGTTTTTGGAGCATGATGGAGTTTATGAAAATCCATGACACTTGCCAGCCAGTCCAAAAATTAACAAAAACAAAAGTGGCTCTCTTTTTCCTGTGAACTCCTTTCTAGACCAAAGCACACCCAACACCTCACTTGCAGGTTGCTATCAATGTTTATATATGTAGTAAAAATGTAAAGGAAAGGCGTTGGGACAAGGTCATCCTTCTGCGCATGGAGGGAGGGAAAGGACAGTATGGGTAAACAGTCCTTTCTTGTCTCATGTTCACTAAATTTATGTTCTTTGTCTTTATCTCACTCCTGGAGGATGTATTCATTATTTCCACGTAGAGGACTGGGTGATTGAGCGGGAAGGAATCATATCTAGGAGGTATTCCCGTTGGCGATCCACAGCTGTAGACTTATGCACAGCAAGGCCAGGGTTAACAAAGGCTAATGTTCCTCCTAAAATAGAACAAAGAGCAGGCGTTTAGTGAAAAATCCCCATTATTTACAACTACACCATCTGGTAACACTTAACTAGATAAACTAAAACATATCTTGCACTGCAACATAAGAATAATAATAAAAGAGGCGTCTAGGTGTGTACAGATATTTAATAGTAGCCAGCAATGCATACCTGATCTTTCCAACCAAAGATCATTCCACAAGCATGCACATTCATACTGGGAAGGTGCATACCAGCTCCTATGGAGAGCAGAGGAAGCATGCTCTAAAAACACACTCAAGGGAAACCATAAGCTAAGAAAAATGCATCCTGGCCAATTGACGTTTCCCATTAAGGAGGCTTGGACTTGGGTTCCTCTACTGGGAATGATCCACAAACCCACAAAACTTGCCCAATCCAACCACATATGGTCAAACATTCTCTGATGTCTTAAAGTGCCTTTTAAGTATTGTTTTTGTCAGCCAGATTCAAGCTGCCATGTCTATGGCTTGAAGAACTCTGGGGGGAAAAAATGTATGAACCCTTGGGGGCTACCCCTGCTCTACAACGGATAACTGCTCATTTGTGTCTAGGTACTAAAAAGGGAAAAAAAAAAAAAAAGTTACACCCAATCATTGGAGCTGGCTTGTTCTTAGACCAGTCCCTAGAGCCTCTCTCCCACTCCACTGCAGTGGTCTTAGAACCCTGGTGTCATCACATTGAATACAAGTGTATAGATGCGAGGATGCCGAGGAACAATCCATCTGTGCAGCGGAGGAGACATGCTTCAGTGACTGGAGAAGCAGGGGGTCGGCTCAGCAGTTCAGGTGAGAATAACTTTTTTTTTTAGCACCTAGACAAAAACAAGCAGTTAAACCCTGCAGAGGTAGCCCCACTGCAAAGGTTAATACATTTTTCCCCAGAGTTTTTACTTAGAAAGCAGCTGTATCCCTTCTGTTAATGTATAACATATTAGAAAACATAATATTGTGGGATGCAGGAAAAGTGATCAGCTCTTGCCATTTGGTACAAATCACACCTGCAAAAGCGATGACCTCTCCATTTTCATGGGTTACATTTAGATGCTACACTTCCCACCATACAGAAACATACTGGCACATTCATTGGCTTATTCCTTCATTTTTATTTTGTATGCAATGACAAAAAAGTTATAAGCTCCTAAATAAGGAAAGCACTAGAACCTCAAGAATGTAGTTTGCAGTTGACCACTTTATTGACTGGCTGAAAGCTGCTAGAACCTTCAGCTTGTGTAGGTTTAGCACAATGTTTTACAAATTGATACAGGCAAAGGTTAAGTTTCAGTCTAGAGAACACCAACACCACTATGAAATCATAAATGCATATTTTTTCTTCCTTCATTGAGGGACACAGGATGTTGGGTTACTGCCACCTACAGGAGGATTTGGACAGTGGCAAACAAAAACCGGTGACCAGCACAGTATGCCCCTTCCCCACTCCCAGCATGCCTCAGTTTTTTACTAGTGTCCTAGGAAGATGAAAGCTAACTATTGCTTCCCTACACTTACTAATTAAATCACTATTCTCCTAGAAGCTGTTTGAGTTAGTCTCTTAGGCGCAGCTACCTGGATCAACATATGCTCAGCAATAGCTTTGGAGACCATACCCAGACCCTAGGCCCTGCTACACATCTAAGAGGTCACTGTAGTCACAATAGTACTAACTGCCCCAAGCAGATCAATGCTAGACCTCAGGAGGTAAAACTACCACCCCCCCCCC